AGTAAATCCAAAACATACTTCCTTTGGGACAAGAAAATACCATGCTTAGATCTGGCCACTTCAATCCCGAGAAAGTACTTCAAGTCACCTAATGATTTCATCTCAAATTCAGACGCCAAATATTTCTGGAGACTCCGTATTTCTGTCCGATCATCTCTAGTTACAATCATATCATCAACATAAATTATTAAAGCTGTTAATTTACCTTTCCGACTCTTCAGAAACAAAGTATGATCCAAATTACTTTGTACATACCCAGACTTCCTCATAGATGCAGCAAACCTCCCAAACCAAGCTCTTGGAAACTGCTTTAATCTGTATAAGGATTTTTGTAGTTTGCACACCATACCCTCCTTAGAGGTTACAGGGACACCTGACGGAGGGTCCATGTATATTTCTTCCTTGAGGTCACCATGAAGGAATGCATTTTTGACATCAAATTGTAACAGAGGCCAATCATGATTAGCAGCCAAGGACAAAAGTACGCGTACAGTATTGAGCTTTGCTATTGGAGCAAAGGTCTCCGTGTAATCCACTCCATAGGTCTGAGTATAACCTTTCGCTACCAGCCTTGCCTTGTAACGGTTAATGGAACCATCAGCCTTGTGCTTCAGAGTAAACACCCATCTGCACCCAACTGCCTTTTTTCCTTTTGGTAAAGGGACTAGCTCCCAAGTGGCATTCTTATTTAAGGCTTCCATCTCCACATGCATTGCATCTACCCATTTTGGATTTGATAGAGCATCCTGCAACTTAGTTGGCACACATACACTAGATAATTGACACAAATATGATGCATATGACTTAAACAGCCGATGAGTTGACACATAATGATTAATGGGATATTTAGATTTGGCATGTATATCAGGGGAATATTGCACTTTAGGTTTACCACGAGTAGTGCGTGGGGGTAAAGGATAAATAGATACATCATTAGAAAGTACCTCATCATCATCACGAGTTGATTGGGACAATGGCAGGGCAGAGGGGGGCCTTATATCAATCTCATCTTCACAGCCAATATCACTATAACATTCTTCTGGCAAAGGGCAAATCTCATCAAGGAATTCAACTGGCGACCGGTCGGTTTTACACAGATTGTTGGGCGACCGGTCATTTCCTCTGGACGATCGGTCGTTTCTAAACACTCGTCACGCAGTGTGCCGTGCGACCGGTCGTCACCCTCTACACGACCTGTCGGATTTGCACAGATTGCTTGACGACCGGTCGCGTCCTTTAAACGACCGGTTGTTGGCACTCCGTCAGAGATTCCTTCAGATGCCTCTGTACATCCAAGATTTTCACATGCATTTTTCCGTCCAAGATCTTCCATTCCGAAATTCTTTAATTCACTCCCCCTCTCCCCCTGAATTGGAGAGGAGGAAGAGACATAATACGGTACTTCTTCATGAAAAGTGATATCCAAAGTAACATGTACCTTCTGTGAAGGAGGGTGGTAGCACTTGTAACCCTTATGAGTAGTAGAATAGCCAATGAAGACGCAGCGTGTAACACCCCGACCCCAAATTTATCCCATGTTTTAATTTATTTAAGTGGAATTGAGAAATTACCCATGGGATAGGGGTATTTTAGTTATTTTGTTATCCGGAAGGAATTTATGAATTCCGGTTGTACCGTTGCGTAGAGCACGGTGAGATGAGTCCGTAGACACGTAACGGGCTCGAATCGGAGTTGTAACGAGAGAGATATGATCAAATGAAGCTCAGTGGCATAATCGTAAATATTTGGAAAATGGATTTTTGGTTAAAAGACGGAATTGCCCCCGTCTCTCTCTCTCTCCCCCGCGCGTCTCTCTCTCTCTCCGACGGCAGCTCCTCTCTCTCTCTCTCTTCGAAACTCCGGCCACCGTCCATGGCAGTGGACAGGACCGGTGCCAAAAGGACAGGCTCAGCCCTGCCGTCAAGACCTGGCCCTTCCCCGACATCGGCCGCTGACCCAGGCGCCGGGAAAAGCAGGAGATTGG